GGCGGCGCCCGTCATCCTCACGCCCATGCAGCAGCGCATCTGCAACCTGCTCGGGGAGGCCACCATCATCAGCCTGCCCAGCGGCGACTGCGGCGCCGCGGACGGCACCGAGATTCCCATCGCCGCCTCGGCCACCACTGTCACGCTGACGCAGAGTGAGTGCCACCGCTGCCGGAGATGCGCCTGGCGCCGCTGGAAGGTCCTGGGCCTTGTGCAGGGAAGCCCCTGTTGAAAGGAGACCTCTCCGTGTGTGTAATGAAAGTGCCGTTCCCAGAATGTCCGAGGGGATCTTCCCAAAATGGCCTAGGGGACGTTCCCAAAATGCTCTAGGGGAGCAGCTGCAGGATACGCACGTAGTGCAAATGAGCTGATAGCTGGGGTTGGCCGCAAGGACAAGGAGGGCGAGGATCCTTTGAACCTTGAGGGTTGTGCCCCGTCTCTGGGGACAGGAGCACAGGGGGAAGCTTCTCCAAGTCCAGCTTCCTCCTCTGCTCCAGGCAAGAGCCAACTTTTCAGTGAATGCCATGGGGTTTCTTTTCCCCTGGCAACAGTTGGTTAATGCCACTTGGGAAGATCGTTCTGAATCCAAGGTTGAGAAGTGGTTTTGTCTGGATGGTCTTTGCATGGCCTGTTCTTTGGACTCTGCGCAGGCCAGGAGGGAGCTCAGAGGAGGGTGGGTGGAGTTGGCCTCAGCCAGTCGCTTTGTGCATTCCCTGTTCAGTCTATGTTATCTCACTGAACAGGCAATAAAGCCCTGCTGTATTTATTGAATAGCCCTGTAGGTAAAAATACCCCTATTACAGCTGCTTCTTATCCCCTTTCTCTGCTTTGTTCCCAGTTCCTGCAGAGACGACCTACCACAGCCTGGAGGACGGCGTCGTGGAGTACTGCACGACGGAAGCCCCCGCGACGGTCACGGCCGAAGCCCCCCTGGAGATGATGGCGCATCAGCACGAAGTGGCTGCCAAACCCCAGGAGCTGAAGAGCCGGATTGCCCTGAACTCAGCCAAGCTCTTGCAGGAGCAGCGAGTGACCAACCTGCACGTGAAGGAGATCGCGCAGCACCTGGAGCAGCAGAACGACCTGCTGCAGATGATCCGCCGCTCGCAGGAGGTGCAGGCGTGCGCGCAGGAGCGGCAGGCGCAGGCCATGGAGGGCACGCAGGCCGCGCTCAGCGCCCTCATCCAGGTCCTGCGCCCCATGATCAAAGACTTCCGTCGCTTTCTGCAGAGCAACACGCCCAGCCCCGCCGTGACTGCCGATCCCGGCCACGCTGGGCAGCAAGATGGCATCATCCAGTGAGGGAAACGCTGGCGGGGCTCCCTTCCTGGGAAAACTGCCCGTGCTGCTGCTGGATACGTGGAGTCCGAGGGTGGCAGCTCTTGTCCGTGTGAAATGGTTCCCCTTGGAGTCTAGTGCTGCGCATGAACACGCTTTCTCTGCTAACCTTATGCTAATCCGCCTTTTCAGACTCATTGTGCAGAGTGGTAGCGGGGTGTGTAACAAACCAGGGGCCTAATGTTGATTGTTTTAGTTCCTTAAAAAACAGGTTTATAAAGTAAGACAATTATTTTTTTATTTCTGTTTGAAAAAAAAACTTCTCCTAAATAGGACACCTCTCAAGACCTGTAGCCTTTCACTGACTTAAAATGTGGAGGGTCCTGTTATATCCGAGTACTGAAGCTGCCTGGTCGGTTAACACAAGCTGTAGCACAGGGCAGTGCAGCTTTTCTGTCCTTTGCTGAAAGCATCTGCTGGTAAGGTGGTACGCGAGGGGCTGCGACCTTCTCTCTGTGCTAAGAGTTTGTGGATGCTGCCCCTGGAGCATGAAATCCAGCCCATGCAGAAGACCAGCACCTATTTATACACAGTTAAATCCCACCCACGTCCCCTGAGGGTATTAATGGGATTAAAATAGTGCATGCGCCTCTTGTTCTGTCTGGGTGCAGTGAAAACATTTCACTTTTGAACTTAGAGGTGCTAAAAAAAATTATCTTTGGCTCCTAGATACTGTGCTGGGTTGTGCATCGGAAGCGACGTTTTATCTGTGTCAGAGGAGCTGATGCACAAGGACACGTCTGAATGTCACTCAGATGGGTTTACAGGTGAAGCTCCGTCTCCTTCCAGGCCTGCGCAGTTGGGCCTCTCTAATACCCTAATCCATCAAAGTGAACCTGGACCACAGAGCTTCAGCCCGGCAGTAATTCCCAGCAGGCTCTGTTTAGGAGTTTCTGTGGATTAGGGAGCATTACGTTTTTGGAGAGGGGAGGGTAGGTTTTTGTTTTGTACTTTTTAGGAGCTGGGCACAACTTCAGCAGTTCCTAGTCTGCTAGTTGACTTTGCCTTGTGTTCTGAGAAATGGGTCTGGGATTCGCCTCATCCATTTTCTGCTGGAAAACAACAATGTTTTGAGCCATTTCTCTCTTTGAGGTGTTCAGCTATTGGGTTTGATCCTAAATGAGACAGCTTAATTTCAGGAGATGGTAGATGTGATTGTTACAGACTTGCAGTGACTTTGTAAACTTTAAAGCAAGCTGACTTTAATGATGAGCTCAACTTGTGTGTGCATGGAAATGGACCTCAAAAAAGGAAAAAAGGAAGAGAAAAACGTAACTTTTCTGCCCATGCATTGCAAAGTGCGTCCCGGTTAGGCCAGGTGTTGCTTTTGAAATGGAACATTTTTAGAGCTGGTATCTGCTTGCTGCCCAATCTTGAGGCCAGAGGAGATGGTGAGCAAAGACTGATGAGGGGTTGAATTCGCACAATCAAATTATCAACTTCACAGAGCCTTTTATGGAGGAATATGCTGGGAGGCCCCTGGTTCGAGCAGCAGGTGACCTGGCTACCTGTTTGCTGCCTGTCTCTGGCCTGTTCTCATCTCCTCTCCTTGGCAAACCTTGGCTCCTGATGGAGGAGCAGGTGACACAGTTGCCCCATGGAAGATTCCTGATCCTCTCCCACCGGTACCTCCGTGCTGAGTCAGGGCAGCATCAGAGTCCGCCCTCGAACTGCCCAGCTCTGAGCAAGACTTCGCAGAATCAAATCAGTTGCTCAATTGAAATTTATTTTTAAAGCTGAAAACTATGTCATATGTTTTGTTTTACCTCATTTGTGCAATGAACTCTCCTTTACAAACGCGAATTTTAATAAAAAAAATTACATTTTTGGTAAACAGGCTGTTTCGGTTCCTCGGCTTGCTTCAGGGCAAAAATTGCTTCATGAGAACAAGTTTGCGACACAGTATTCAGTCAGTAAAGAAAGCTGCACAGAGCCATGGGCTGTGGTAATTTTTTTCTCCCGTTCATGAGCTTTTTGGCCTTTTATTTACATAATTATGAGCTTTTTCACAAATAATAGCTTTTACAACCTTTCCTTGAGGCATCTGTGTGTGATAGATTACCAAAGTATACTAATATTCAAGTGCTCTGGATGTGCCTAAAGTGACGGATGAAGTACTGGCCTTTGGATTTAAATTGCAGTGTTATTTGTTTTCAGTGACTAAACACTTCAGCTTTTTTACTGTTTCATGCAAGTAAATGCTTTGCCCTTTGAAGCAGCCGTTTTCTTGTTTTTTCTGGATAAATACAGAGCTCAGTCAAGCCACCAGCATTCACGCAGAGATTCCATGTATGCATTTTTGTCTCATTAAAATGATGTGGCAACATTTTAAAGACAGGGCGAGGACCATGATTAGGGGCTCAGTTGTTGCTCACGTGCAGGTCATCAAACCTGGGGAGGAAGGATGAGAACGGGGCTGCAAAAAGGCCAAAGCAGGTGCTGGAGAAGCGAAACGGTCGGTGCGGCGGAGGACACCGGTGCCTCCGAAGCTGAACGTGCAGCAGCCTGGACCCTTGCAGCACCTCAGGAGCAGAAATCCGGCTCGGGAGCCCAGCTGCGACGCGTGCGGCTCGGCCGCGGCTTTCCAGGAGGTGGCACTGCGTGTCCGGACGAGGCGCAGGCACCGGGGCAGCCTCCTCCGCGGCCTCCCGCGCTGGGAAGCCCTGGAAGAGCCGGCCGTTTCCATCCAGGCCTTCCAAGAGGCTGCCTCTCCCTCCTGCTGCTGCAGCTCTTCAGCACTGAGAACAGAAAATCCTACAAAAATCACATTTGTGTGTCAGATGGAGCATGTGCGGCGCGCTTCGATAGCTACATCGCACTCCTGGCAGCTGATTCCTGCAAAAGGACCAAATTTCATCATCTGCGCATTCATCGCAAGTACTTCCATCTCCTCCAACATGTTTTTAACTTTGCTGAGCCTGTTTTGGCAAAGACTTATGATGTCTTCCTGTTGGTATCGGAGAGGTTACTGCCAGCAAAAGTGTGGTCTGCTGCGTTTAAATATGAAAATCTGGGTATTTAAATATAAGATGCCCTGTTTGTCTTGAAAGCACCTGGCAGGAAGCTTCACATGAGCGATCAGCTCCTTCCAGAGTGCAGTTCATGGGGACAGTGACACGAGGGCCGCCCGCAAACTGGGTCCTTAGCCCTCGGGTCCCCGTGCTGCGGGGAGGGTATCCCAAGGCGCTTCATCCCAGGTGCCCAGGAAGGACCGTTTCTGTCCCCAGACTAGGGGTGTCAGCAGCATTTTGGGGGGCTGCAGCCAGAAACATGGAGCACACGGTGCCAACGTGTCGCATTTCAGCCCCGCAGAGCTCAGGGTGACACGTGGGCTGCGGACACAGGGCAACGCACCATGAACACCACGGGCCTCAAGGCGAAATGGGCTCAGGCCCCAGGATTTTGAAGGGACAAGTAGCTGCCAAGCTGCTGCCGCGGCCTCCCAGAAGCAAAGGGACAGCCCTGCCGTGCTTTCCCAAGAAACACGGGGAAGACCTGGAAACTAATAAACGAAAAAGCCAGGGGCAGGAATTTCAGGTCAGGCTGCATGCTTGGAGAAAGGAATCCACCTGCTCCAGATTCCTGTGCTCCCTTTTCTCTGCAGGTAACAGGATTTCCAGTCCCCCAAGCGAGAACCCACCACGCCAGAACCCAGCCTGGCATGGGAAGTGAAACAGTCGCTGGCCTTTATTAGGACAAGTTCAGTTAAATATGGAACTAATAACAATTTAAAAAAAAGATCAAAGCAGAGCTTTTAGCCTATTATTAAGCTAAGATGAGAATATACAAGCTTAGAGCAACCCCGTATCATAGGATAATCCTGTGTAATGGAGAGGCAGCACCAGCCAACGCCGCATGGCCGGGCTCCAGCGTGCGCCGCATCCAGAGGCTGCGGCCACCCCGTGCCCAACGCTCTCCTGCATCCCGGGAAGCTCCCAGGAAGGAGCCTGTGGCGGACACCTCCATGCGGCTCCCACCGCAGGTTCACAGAACGGATGCGTTGTAGGTGTTTGGCCACCGGCAGGGCAAATAACTGTATAAAGCGCCTGCAATAATCTTTTGCTTTTTCTATTTCCTTTTTTTCTTTTTTTTTTTTTGGATGGTGAGACTGAGAACTCATTAAGGCCATTGTCACAGGGGCTGTTACATATGTAATAGAGGAGATCCATTAATGTGTTTACACGGTTGCAGCAACTGTGTGTAATTTGGTTTTCACATTTTCATCATTTGGCTGCTGGGACAAACGTATTATTCATCTGATGATACTTTCCAAAGGCAGAAACTGATTATGTTGTTTATAGAGCTTGATGATTTGCTCGTGTACCTGAGATCCCTCTGGGCTTGGAGATGGAATTAGAGAGCTCTCCAAAGTCTTTGCAGAACCTGCCTCAATTCACCGTGCTGAGTTTTGTCCCTTTTGAACAGATCTTGCCTTTTATCTTCCTTGCTTATTTATCCAAGTCGGGGGTAGAGCAGGAGCACTGGAGGCGAGAGAAGCCGTCACTGTCCCTGCTCACCCTATCGCTGTCCCTGCTCCCTCCTCGGGTGCCAAGCGGAGCAGAGATGCAGCCCTTGCTGCGGACACACAGGCAAGACCCAGCCTGAAGCAGAGGTCAAGCTGATAAATGAGCCAGTGCTGACAAGGTGCCCTGTGCCAGCAAACGTGCAGGAAGCAGTGGCAGCACTGGGGAGAGGCAGCAGAAAACGCTCAGGGCAAGGAGCAGGCGGGCGAGGACACGACGTGGGGTCACCATCATGGGGACATCTGCGCTCAGGTCCCACTTGCAGCACCTCCGTGCGGCTCAGCTCCCTCACCGACTCCAGCATCTCTCCTGGCAGGGCACAACAGAAGCGTTCGGCAAAGCCCTGTCCCTTTAAAAACATGAATTTGTACAGAAACAATTACGCAATATCAACAAAGAAAAAAAAACAATCAACAGGGTGAATTTCTAACTAATAAAGATTTAATCTCAGAGTCATGAGACTGCCTTTGTTAGGAAAATATACATACCCCTGAGAATCCAACTGCAGTTGCTATACTGCAAAATATTCAGCAGCTCCCTGGGCATTTTTCCAGATCCATTTATTTTTAACATCAGTTACATTATTCAATTAATTATAAAAACACTGGGCTCTTCAAGAGATGTTTTCGATTAAAAAAAAAATGCACAGTAAATATGCGTGAGAACAGTGGGGACTGGAATCTCCGTAAACTTGGGCTTTCAGGCCTGTTGCTATAAACAACGCACGAAGTCCTCTGTGGAGGTTATTTATCAGCGTGAATCATAGCAGATAACACAAGGCCTCCTCCCACACAGCAAACGAGGATCATGCGCCCTCGGCTAGCGATGATGGAAGCCAAACACGGGCTGACGTGGCTGCCAGGGTGCACAATGAGCAGCGTACAGGACCAGCCTGGATTTTTCAGATGCCTCCTATAGGCAACCTCCCCAGTCTGTCAAATATTAGTATTTTGCAAACTGAGTTCAGAAGGAGAGACCCAAGAAACCAAACACAAAGCAGAACAGCAGCCCATCTACCAAGGTCTCGTGACCTCGCGAGTCCCCGTATCGACCCACGGCAGGGCTTCGACCCCTGCTTTCGAGAACAGCCTCTCCTAACCCTGCGGGACCTCTCGCGGCCTCTCCCGCAGGGTGGGAAGAGGCGTGTTCCTGGCCCTAAACCTGTGCACCCAACTGACCCAGGGGCAACAATCACCACGGAGCAAAGCGTTTGGTCTCATCTAGTCCTTAACCCTCAGCCAAGCCGGCTCCAGCGTGCTTTCCCTAGGGGGATTTGCCTGAAAGGGTTCGCGCTGCGGTGCAGTTAGCGGGGTGCACCGATACTGCCATGGCACCGATAGCGAAGGTTAGAGACATGGGATGCGGATGCCGAGGCCCAGCCCGGGGCTGGCTGCTCCTGGGTTTCCCTCAGGCTCCGCCAGCCGCCTCTCTCCCTGGCAAAGCGCCTCCCTGCGAGCCCCGACTGCTCCCTGTGCTCCAGCGAGGCTCCAGGGCGCATTCCTGACTTCTAAAACCAAGCAAACGGCGAGGCAGAGGCGTTTTGTCCCATCGGGCCGAGCCCTGCCCGGCCGGGGCCTGCAGGCAGGCGGGAGCCCTGTGGTGGCAGAGATGGGCCCTCCATGCCCTCAGCGCGGCCGCCGGGACCTCCCCACC